ACGTACGATACGAAGCTTCGAAGAAAGGAATGAAGGAGCATACCATTCCTACGTACCTATCGTAAGGTACCCTTTCTATGTACCCATCATACGATCCTTCGGTTGAGGATCGTGAGAGGTCTAAGATACTATTCGAGAATACCTCACGAAGAATAGAGATGTCACGAGTCCGGAACAGAGAACCTCCGTGTAGAATCCCTACCAGGTCTACATGAGGTTCTAATCGGAACTTCGGAATTCTCGTGAACGCGCTTGGTAATCTTCGAATAATTCTAATCTTATAATTCAATTTTCATACATACTTAAACATACTAAGAGTACACGTAATCTCGTGCAAATAATATTGCATATGCCTTAAATGAATTATATTCATCATGCATGAATATCAAAATACTACTACATAGTAATCATAGCATGTGGGATAGCTTGTTCTTCTTGTAGTAGCACGACATGCGCGTGGGCATCATTTGGAACAAAAAGAAGGCATCGCAAACCGGTACTACGTCACAACGTAGTAGCTAGTATGTACAAAAAGACTGGTTCCTTTTAGTTTATATTAAGATATTAACATCTAATATAAAAACTGTACTAGTAGGAATTAGTCACAGTCCAAACCGGTCAAAATTTGTGATTCGGTCACATCCTTTTGTGATCAAGATTGATCACAAAAAAAAATGATCACATTTTTTTGTGATCAAAACTGATCACAATTTTCCGTACCAGTAGGGGGGGGGGGGGGTTGGAATCTAAATATTACCCCACAAATTGATATCGACATGGTTCCTGTGGGGGTAAATGTTCATTGTTTAAAATGTTACTAACGCTTGTCTAATGCAAACGCTTGACCCAAATATTACCGGTGCATTCCTAATGGTAGCGTTCCTAATGTTATGAACACTACTACACGTAAAACAACAATTGAAACTACGTCAGTGGAGGCATTGGGAACGTTAATTAACATTCCAAATGTTTGATTTAACGTATGGAATGTTAATTTAACGTACAGAATGTTAAATTTTTCATGTAGACTTTCGTAGATCCTACTAGTATTATCCACATTCTTCAGCATTCAGTCTTGCACGTGCCTAAAAAAGGAAGAAGGGATCTTAAAAAGAGGAAGAAGAGGATGCCTCCCCTCCTAGTAATATTAAGACTGTTACGCAAATATTCAGACTGTTAAGCAAAGCATTCAGGACGTTAAATTGAAGCAAAAAACACAGTACTCACTTCTACAAAGAGGCTGGTAACATTCGGAATGTTAAATTAACGTTCCCAATGCCTCCATTACTAGTACGGATATCATAACAACAAATGATCTCCACACTAAGAAATTGGTTCCCATCGTTGTTTTAATGATGCCATCCTTAATTTTTTCAGTACAAATTCTACAGAGCTCTACTGAGTGTTGCTCCCTGAAATTTTCAGCATGTTTTGCCTTCTGAGAAAGAAGCAGGATTGGTTCTCCGCCACCAGAATAGTTGCAAACTATCTCAGTACATTTTGTACTGTGTTCTACTGGGCTAAGGATGGCATCATTAAAATAACAATGGGAACGAATTTCTTAGTGTGGCGATCATTTGTTATGATATCCGTAGTAACGTAGTTTCAATTGTTGTTTTACGCGTAGTATATTCAACGTTAGGTTACCCAACAAAAAAAAATTGCCATTATGGATCCCGTACGGTAAGTAATTAGTAGCTCTAGTACATTTAGATCCAGTACGAAGAATTGCATCATTGTTCAAAAGATACACACCCATCACAATAGTTTCGATTCGGCACGAGTAGTACTACTGTACAGTACGTGCATAGTTTTGAAGTTGGCTGACACCTTTTAGCGTTTGCCGTTTTTTGTCTTTCGCTCTTTTCTATCACAACTATTTGCAAACTTTTCTGTCATAAAAATCTATCTCAAATTACGCTCACTCTACAGGACGAAAGTGAAGGTGCAACAAGTTAAAGTAATTTGATAGACAGAGTTTATCTCAAAAGAAGGACGAGAACCATGATCACTAATTCGCAGCGACATTCGGACGAACGAACTAGAACGCGGCTATTGAATCGCCTCGGGTATTTTAAAACCCCAGGTGGAGGGACGGCAGGCCTCTCGTCTTCCGAGCTATCATCGGTAATATCACAATCCACGATATCTTGTACAAACTTTTCATTCCCTTTGGCCAACCATCACCCCGATAATAGTCAAAATCTCACTCTTCTTGGCGATGCAGCTCCGGTCATGGTAAACCTGAATGATAACTTGAACGAGGGAGATTGTCGTCATGACGACGACGTACCATATTTCAAGTCATCCTCTCCAACGAGCTGTATGATCGATATTTCTTCAACCATACGCAGCAGCAGTACGAGTCACCAGAGTTACAACAAAAGTCAGAGAAGAAACTATAGACCGCCCGAGCCTCCTCCCACGGACATAACCGCCATAACCACCGCTACTTATAATTCAACATCAGTTCAATTCAATGAAAAAGCTGCTGTGTTGTTGATTCCATCAAGGTATCAGTATTCTGATCGCATCAAGAAATGCATGTGGTCAAGTAAACAAGAAATGACAGAGATGACCAAGCGAAATGCCACCGAATTTGCTGCCGAAGGCTGGGATTGGAAAAACGTTGTCATGGAGAGAGACATGCATTTCGACAAAGTCACCGGGACACTGGTTCATCCTTGTCACTTGAATGATAAGCGACTATACATGCTCTATGACGAGATCGACAGAGACGCCTATGATAAAGATGATTATCAAGCTTATGACTGTGAACAAGAATACTGTTTTCAACCACTGGAACGGAAGTCTCATGTGATGGCTAGGGGAAATATGACTCGATGATTTCCGACTTTGTCTTTCACCCCCAAAACTTACTTGATTTTAAGAGCATAGGCACAATTACACAATTACATTTCTTGTTCGCTATTAAACCCTTTACCAACTCTCTTTGGTAGGCAGTTTATCAAACTTTTCACCTGCTCTTGATGAGTAGAGCATGCTTCCAATATGGACATACAAACACGTTTTCTATTAGGAGTACTTTTTCTTCAAGCATAGAAACACAGTGTAGTGCACGATGTGTGACAATAGTCTTATCTTTTTTAGTTATTTTTTATTTCTTTGACATTCACGCACTCCATTCAGCCACTACAAATCACAAAGTGTTGGAATGTGATGTTTAAACGAGTCTACAGCGGAGTGGTTGCTGTAATGTTATTGGTTGACCGTGTGCCACCGTCCCGTTGTGTTACCGTGTAGGAGTGCGTCTGTTTTTGTTAACGATCAGAGATTGGAGGCATAGAGAAACTTGCAGTATTGTTTGCCTGAACATTTCGTTGCCATTTCTGATGCAATGTCTCTCGTCGCTGCTGTTCTTCTGCGTGTTTGTTTACTGTCTGAAGAACTGCTGGAAAACCTTGACAGAGTTTCGGTAGTTCCCTCTCTTTGGTCAAGATACAGGCTAGGCGTTTGCAAAATGCCAGCTCGTCTTACATTGTAGCACGAAATGATGAAGGGAAAGAGAGATCACAGAGATGATTTTGTTATCGTTGATTCATTCATTTGCTTTTTCATCAATTGATTGAAATCAGATCAAAGCATCATCTGCCATCTTCCCACTAAGCTTATGAAACTCCGTACCTTTATAGTCTTGTTCAGAATCAATACTACGAGAACTTTCGTTCAGAATTACATTCTCAAAATCATCGGTGATCGACGCTCCGCTTGCCGAATGAGAAACCAATCTGCTAATAGAAGCGGATGTAGCAACTGGAAGAACCATCGTTTGTACCGTGCATTTAGTCTCTAAAAAGGATACCTTAGTCGACTTTTCATGCTCGTCAACGACAAGACTATGAATGCAGGTGCAAACTTCAACAAGTAGCCTCTCCGAATATTTTCACTCGCTTTCATTACGACAGATTAGCAGGTAATTGCGCGCTCATCCTAGTGAGTCCCAAACGTCTTTGTGTCTCTCCGTTGATTCTCCGTCTAACTCATCCACTTTCGCTGTATTGAGAACTCGTACTCTCGATAAAATGCAAGAAAAAACAGAAGAAAAGAAAACCTCTTGACGAGCGACGGTTGATTTGAAGCTTTCTGATTTTAGTACGAGTAAAACTCGTACTCGTCTGTCGTTTAATTTTTTTGTAACAGCAGATCCATTGCACGTAAAGCACGTACTCGTAGCTCAGGAATTAGTACGTTCATACTGGAACGGTTTTTTTCGCGCGAATGGAATTCTCCGTTAATGTTTTGATACGCATCGACAGTACTACGCGTTTCGTAAGAATTGAATACGGTCTCAAAATAGAGCAAAAAGTAATAATTTGAAGTTCTAAACTTCGATTTTAAGTTAAGAACTTCATGTAGAAAGTGTACTAGATTCTACTGAGCTAGTTTTTGGATGGCATTCATTATTGATTCATGACTGAATCACCTCAAACCATTTTTAATCGCCCTGAACCATTTTTTTGTTTTGAGGGGAATTGTGATTAGGCCATCCAGTCATTTTAAAAAACTAGCTCATGCAGTAGAACCTGGAACATGATGTACAAGCAAAAGTTCATAACTTCAAATCGAAGTTTAGAACTTGAAATTATTACTTTTTGCTCTATTTTGCGACCGTATTCAATTGTTACGAAACACGTAGTAACTATTAGAGCTATCAAAGGCAATAGGGCTATTAATGGTAAGTCCTGTACTGGCAATTCATTGGCAATTCCTGCACAAATGCTAGTAGAAAATTTTAGCTCATTTTTACACGTAAAATCTCTTATATTAACTGTCAGCAATGCAATAAAACAGTTGAAAAACCGTCACTCAACTTCTGACAAATTATGGTGTGGAGAATGGCTGAGGGCCGGGCCACCAGGATTTATTGCTTTAGAAACTGAGCCCATTTCACCCATTGTGTTGCCTGATTTTTTTACTATTTTGAGTGTCATTATTTTAAACTGCTGGGAGCGTGCTCCTCTGTATTATCAGTGACCTCCTCTTGTACTATTGTATCAGTGACTTTTCAGTATTGTGTCAGTGACTCCTACATATCGCATTGGCGACTCTTATCAGCATCCTCCATATCAGTGGTGACTTGTATCAGCAGTGTCCTTCATATCAGCATACTCTGTATCACATACTTCTTTCTTGTATCAGAAAAATCATATGGTAGCTACTACAGTAGTATGCTGAGGATGGGGCTCTTCTGTATTATATCTGCATCCTCCACATCAGCATACTCCACCATATTGCATTTTCCATACAAGCAAACTTGATATCCCATACTCTGTACTCTAACTCCATATCACATATTCAAATATGGCATCATGATATTCCATATCAGCTAACACTGCTGGTGACCATGCCCTCTGGTGTACTATCAGCAAACTCCATGTCACATATTCCATATGGCATATTCTGTTTCAGCTAACACTGACTGTGCGCTCCACATCAGCATACTCTGTATCAGTGTCTCATGCATTGGTTGATCATTGCTGTTGCTTATTTGGTGGAAGAACCAGTGTCAAACTTGTCTTGTACTACTAGTAGTAGTACTAAATCATCCAGTGGATCAAAGAAGATTACATTCTTCTTCATTGATAACACTGATTGACTTGAAGAGATTGCAGTCCTTTGAGTACCTGCAAATGCTGCCCTTACAGTGACATACTACCCTACTTCTATGATGAAGATCATCACATCCATGATGAATATGCTCTCCTTCTGCCATAACTGGCTGGTCAGTAGACATATTAACTTGGCACTACACCCTTCAGACTTGCTTGAGTATGGAAAGATCCACACACTGGTCCCTTGAGTATCTAATTGTGGTTTTGCTTGAGTATGGATGGTCTACACACAGGTCCCTTGAGTATCTACAGCCCAAAAGCAAATGCAAATTGCTAGAGTATGAATGAAAGCTTACAGATGAGGCCTTTTGCTTGTGGATGTGACTGTTTTGCTTTATTGGCGTCCATTTAGTGCTGTTTGGTGAGTTATTTTAGTACATACTACGATAGGTTCAGCATTGGATGCAGTTCCAGTACTGATTTTGCTGCAGTAGAAAAAGACATAGTAGCTACAGTACTTAGGATTTGTACTGTAGTAGTACTGTAATGTACAGGGGCTACTTGCACATGGCAGGCAAGCCAGCTGGCCCTGGAGGTTCAGAATTTCCATTAACTTGCCAGTATGGGGCTTGTCTTTAAGAATAGCTCTTGTCAGTACATGTGGTGGTACAAGTATGAGTAGTACTACTACTACCAAATGAAAATTGAAAAGGAAGATGCAATGTTTGTTAAGGAGATAACCAGTAATCAATCATAACTCCTCACGGAAAAAGAATACCAGGGGTTTTGAAACTGGTCTCACCAGTGAGCTAAATTTTTTGATTTGAAGTTAAGAACTTCAAATGTCTGGTTTTATGATGTATTGATGAATAAATAAAATAACTATTATTTGTCTTAATATGAGGATTTGATGCATCATATAGGTTGATAGGGGTTGTACATGTTTCTGAGGAGTTGAAAATACAGCTCCTTGTTTATCTTTTTCCATGAGGACTACCAATGCATCATAGAGGAGCAAAGTGGAAAATAAAATATTGGTTTGGTTGAATTCTAGTACTAATAGCAACTCTCAGAATCCCATAGTACTACAGAATTACCAACTTAAAACCAAGAAACTTCTCAATGAAAAATTTCTTACTCCTCCTTTCTTGACTGTTGCTGGTGATGGTGATCAGCCTCATGGTGCTACTACTACTATTGTTGAAAGATTCAAGAAGAGTAAAACAGTATCATGATGCTGCTGTGAAGTTTGCCCTCTTAGTAAGATATATGGTATAACAACAGGAGGAATGACCCAATGATTTGCTGAAGATAGAAGGGGCATTCTCAACTTCAATTTTTTGGATATCTGAATTCCCAGCAGGTCCCCCTTAGTATTGTTGATGATGATTTCTTGAAAAACAAATCTGAATATTGAGAGTTTCTTTTTCCTGAAACCTGTGTTTTCCAGTACTTGCATCACATACTAGTAGTAGTACAAGTGGACCCAACACTTATCATGGAAGTTTCAACATCAACAGGCAGTAGTAGTACTGTAGTACTAGTAGTGCATATACTACGAGATGTTGTAACACTAGTAGTACCAATAATTCCAACATGATGTATGTCGTCGCTCATCGCATGTGATATTACTAGTAAACACAGTAATACATAAACCTTGAAATTCCACCAGTACTAGTAGTAGACACCTGCTAGCTGTGGAAATAGAGCTACTACAAGGGCCCCCATTACCACCGGATTTGATAGCAGGTACTACACAAGTACTACTACTTAAACTACTAGTACTAATCCTTACTACGACCGGAGCATACCAGAGGATGGGATGTATAATAAAACCACCACTAATAGTAGTACCAGCTATTACTAGTACTAGTAGTACTGCCAGTACTGCTGATAGCCAAAGTACTTCTGTTGGAGGTAGTCTGGTTTATTAGATATTGCAGAGATCATTTGAGGTATTTCTGTGCATTTCCAAAGATGCCTTCGGATTTGCATGGCTTCGCCATTCGTGGCATACTTGGAAAAGCTGACACCATGATGCAGTGCAACAAGATATTTTAGCGTCTTTCCTCTGCTGGCTAGTCAGATGACAAGAGATAGGAATTTTAACATATTTTGGTATGAAATGATATACTCCATGGTTTTGTATACATTCCAAATCCAAATGTGTTTAAAAGTTTAATTTTAATTTCGACGACTTCATGGATTTATTCTCTTCCGAAAATTTACTGCACACTGGCTATGAGTTACACGCTATTTGATTCAAAAATCAAGGAGGAAAATTACTATTGGGTCCTTCACTTTATTTTGTGATCTCGGGATTTTCGGTGTGCGCTTCGGGGGTCTCTTCAGCTGCTTCCGACTTGATCAATTTCCCAAAGGGTTTCAGAAGGAGCTCGATAATAGGTTTCAGAGCGTCTTCCGACTTTCCAGCAACTCCCAGCAAGACCTTTGCAATGGCTTCGATGGCGGGATTCAAGATGCCGGCATCGAATTTCGTCAATTCACTTTCGATCTTTCCGTCAACTTGCGACAGATCGGTACCAACAACCCCCAACGCCTTTCCGGCAACAGCTTCCGAAGTTCCGACAAAGAAGGACACCACGGGAACTGATTTTCCCCAGAGCAAAATTTCCTTGGCCTTGCCATAAACTACTTCGGCGGCATCAACCTTCATAGACGCGTCGGCAACCGGTTCTTCGACAGCAGCGGGAGCGACATCCGGAAGGGGTGTTTTTTTGACCTCGGTCACTACGGGGGTAGTGATTTCTTTCTTGATCGCTGTTTTAGTTTTTTTGGCCATCATGTCAATATCGTTGTCGTTGCTACTGATTGTGTCTTCTATCGTTTCCATTGAAAAGCGAGATGAACGAACAGCAGTGGGTGAGACATAATTGTTTTCAGTTGAATCGATACTGTCGATATCACTGCTGTTTTCTACGCATGACACAAAATCATCATTGCTGACGTTTGATACTCGCGTGAGTGCCGAATGGAAGCTTCCCGATTTCTTAATCGTTTTTTTGCCAAAAAAGTGGGTGTGCTCGGGTGGTAACTGTTGGCCTGCGTTATCGGTGTTCAGGAATTTTCGCATAAAACTCCCGTCGTTAACTTCAAACGCATCAGGGGTGGCCGGACCCAGAAATAAACTCTCAGCTGCACTTGGAGGCGAGATGGACAGCGGCGCTTTCTTTCCGTACGATGTCGGGTTTTCTTGTTGGCTTTTAAGCTCCATCGGGGTTTTGGTGCAACGCTATTGAGCACAGGAAGTGACCAGAAAGCGCTTGTATCAAGTGTCGGTCGAGACGGCTCCTACAGGATGCGACGAAAGCAATCGAATCGAATCAAACTGAAAAGTAAACATATTCGAAATCGAGGAGGATTCAAGAACGCAAAATGTAAGCAAACCGCCATAACGAAGGGATCATCACCTTCCCCTATGGGATATCTCGGACCGCAAAACCCCGAAGGTGGTGTGATATCTCGGACCGAAACACACGCATAAAGATTGGGTACACACCTAACCTAGATTAAAGAAATCGTACCAAGTCACACCGTTTCCAAGTGTAAATGACATTCAATAATGTTGCTCGAAATGCTTCACTTCGATGTAAAGAAAAATAACACGATCGATTCTCTGATTGATTCAGAGCCGTAAAAGATGGCGAATGCTGCCAGGACTTTCCACACATCAGGCATGCACTGTGCCGGTAGGATGTAACCGTGGCGTCGAGTACAAACTCCTACAGACAGTAGTAGCTGGCCAGGAACAACTAACAAATGCTGCTACCAAAAGAGTCGAATTCCTGTTCCATCCAGCCATCGCCATCAAACAAACAGAATGCTTTTTTGTCGTGCTCTATTTTGACGTGGACCAATCAAACATCAGCATTTATTAGCACACGTCGTCTTCTACATTGTCGAAGGTTCGAGTTCAGTTTTGAAGTTTTCGGTTACAGTTCGTACGAAAAGGCCTAGTACGAAGTATTTTTTTAACGATAGATACGTAGATACGATTGATACCTATCAATCAGTTTCTAAAAAAATACTAGTAGTATAGATCCTATTCGGCTGCTACAATGCTTAGATCAGGCACCGAAATAGAGGTTTCTGTACCCGATGATTTTTGCGGAGAGTGCGAAGAATATCTCTTCCCTGGGTGTTGATCGTCATCGTTGAAGGGACATGTGGTACTGCCGAGGCATGGCACCGCCTCATTTTCATCAAAGGCAAGCAGCTTGGCCATTTCAAACACAGCTCGAAGGCTTCGTTCGACTAGCGGCAACGCTTGCTTTTCTACAGTGTCGATCATTAGTTCCAATTCTTTGCAAACTGCTTTCATACAGGGACGATCCGAGATGTCGTGGGCCCAGGTTCGTTCGAGAAGATCGCGCGAGCTCCAGGGAACGTTCCCCGCGGAAACACAGGGACGTCCATGATTGTCGCACACAAACACTTTGTGCGCTTCGCGATTGTACCTTGCGTATGGTTTCTGGAGGCTAAGCATTTCATAAAATACCATGGACCAGCTATAGCAGTCGGTTTTTTGGTTGTACCCATCTCCCGATATCATCTCGGGACTCATGTATCGGCGTGTACCAACCGTAGACATTCGATAGACGGGCTCTCTTTTGGCATTGTTCTTATAACTCAAGGTTTTATCGTCCTCTAGCGGCATTGATCTGCAGAGTCCAAAGTCAAAAAGTTTCGCTATGCCACCGGAAGCTATGCCGACGTTGTCAGGCTTTAGATCTCTGCATTAAAAATAAAGAGAAGCCGGAGTAACATGAGATAATTATCTATGAATCAACAATAGCTCTGATAAATAACCAAACTACTTCGGCGCAGTAGTATACACCAAAAGCGTATCACAACTCAACAATCGATCCGCCGTAGCGCACTCACCGAAATATCATTCCGTGACTATGTACGTGATCTATTGCGCTTGCTATGTGAAGACCAAATCGTAGTTTATCAGGATAAAATAATGGAAGCATCGTATCTGCATCGGAGATGCTACTGTCAATTGCTTTGGGTTTCTCAGACAACCTCCACTGTCGTATTCGTTGCGAGAGTGTTTCTTCCACTCGTTCAAGCACGATAAAAAAGGCTTTTGGGTCGTTTTGTGATGCTATTTTCATGAAGTCTTTATTGCTGTTGTCACTCTTGTTTATAACATTTCTTCCCGACAGGGCGCTTCCCCGAACCCGCACAACGTTTTTGTGGCATAGACGCGACAAGATATTGAGTTCTCTCAAACAGTCCACAGCTGCACGGCTAAAAACCTTCATTCCTCGATCTGCGGCCAAGTCGGGTCGCAGATGTTTCACCACGTAACGTAACTTCCCTTTCGCGTCGTGGCATGCAAGGCGCAGGTGCTCTCGCTTCCGTCGTTCGTTTTCTTCGTCGATGATTCGGCACTTGCTGTGTATGCAGCCCGGCAATTCCTTTACATTCAAAAGGCGCACGTCCTCAAGTTCATGAACTTCGCAAAAGGCACCCGTACCTAGCAATTTTCCTAGAACTATCTCGCAGCAATGAAACAGGGCTTCTTTTCTATGTTTCACATCGTTTGCTTTCATCCTCCTCCCCTCGAGTTCTGACACGTTTCGAAGCGCCACATCGTTGATTGTTATTGTCATGTTTCTTTGATCCATGTTTCTGTCAATATGCTTCCACAGGGCTATACCATGTTGTTCATGCCTGTCTTGAATACACGGAAATGATTTCTTGAACGATGCTGCTTGTTGCTGATTTTGTGGTCTCTGGAGGTTTGATTTTTTATTCAAAACTCAGTATCACTGGTATTTTCTGGTAGATAGTGAAGGGCACCTACGGAAGCAGTTGTTGGACACTTGATGTGTGGCGTAAAGCTTGTTTTTGAAGCGAGAAGGGCGTCAACGAGAGCTTTATTTCCTGGTCTGACAAAAACGGGAACGTAAAAATTCCGGAACGTCCGTCAGATCAGTTGACACTTCCTTAAAAAGAAAAAATATGATGTCACAAAATTGGAAGTGTCAAGAATAGAAAAAATGAACGAACTCGTTTCGATGGGTCTCATTCATCTACTGTGTAATCCCTAACCCCTCCCACACAGTAGTCTGTATGTCGTACGTTGAAGCTGAATCCACCACCAGTATTTGCTTCTAAGGAATTAGTATGATTGCCACCATGATGTCTCTGTAGCTTAATTTAATTTTGGTGTTTCTACTACTAGTAGTAGTATTGATAGCAGATTTTTATGCGTAAAATGGTTCAGATTATTGTTATTGATTGTTCTTGTACTACTAGTAGTATTGATGCTGACGTCACACAAACCTGTACTATGTTTTTTTTTTTTCCTGGGTGCATGAAATAAAATTCTCGCGCGTATTTTGTGAT